CCTGGATATTGAACCCAGAGCCTCACACATGGTAGCTAGGCACTTTACCATGCAACTACAACCTCAGCTTTCAATATTATTCATTATCTCCTAGAGACTTGTATGTACTTTCTAGATGAAAAAGTTACTAAAAAAAATCTGCATTTAAAGTATGAGTCCCAAGTTACAGATGTTCTTTTTCCTTTGGTTTATTTGATTCTCTTATCAGGTTAAGTAGTGTGCTTTACGATATTCTATGTTAAAAAAAAATTCCACTAGCAAAAAGAGGATGTACAGGAAGCAAGAAGGGATCTATTTATCTATATATCTATCTACTAGATATAATATATATATATATATATATATATATACATATATATATATCTGAATATATATATTCATTCTAACACCACTGGGAAAAGTCTACAAACATTGTATATGGCTACAAATGGGATCTCTTCAGTGATACTTTGTACCCCTTGAATAGAACGAAAATTTTCTGAGGAAGGCATTATGCCCCTGTAGCTTTTGTAACATTACTAACAAAGTCAAAACACCAAATCCCAAAGACTCTTACTAATTCTTATTCTCGTTAACATCTCTGCAACATCCACTGTGTTGAAAGACTGTTATAACCTGTCTTTATGTTCAAACTATCTGTGTATTATTTCTCCTGCAGTTGTACATAAAATGTTTTTACATTAAAAAAATGGGACAAATACTATAGAATTGTATTACATGAAATGTAGAGAATATACAAATTCATAGAGACAGAAAGTTATCTTTCATAGAGACAGATGTTATCTCAAGATAGAGAGGAAAAGAATATAGAGCAATGATTTCCTAAGTACAGAATCTCTGTTTTGTGTGATGGAAAACCCCCACAAATGGACAGTAATATCAGGACATAATATCATGAATGTAATAAATCAATACAATTAATGTAATTAATGAATATCATAAATATAGTTATTGAATAAAAAAAGAAAAGAGGAAACACATGGAGAACCACCCCACACACCCAAATCTATATTGGGGGAACTGTCTGCTCTGGGAAAGTGGTAGCAGGAAGACTGGGAAGGGGCTGGAGTACTCTATGGAGTTGGGGTTCACAGGCACATACATTTGTCTAAACTTAGCTAATGTATAGTTAATACTTATGTTTTGTATGTAAATATTATTTTAAAATTACTCCATAATTGTATTGAATTTTAGAAGGATAGGTACAGATTAAGCAGTTCAAAATGTGTCTAAATTAAATGGATTGATGAATAAATTAAATTAAAAAAAAGGAAGACTCTAGAGACCCTGTTTTCATCTTATTCACTGCTTCCACTGCTTTACCTGGGCCTGAATGACATCTCTGTCAACTCATGTCCCTTCCTTCACTTTTATCTTCTGCCCCCTCCCCATTGTATCTTTCACATCGCCATCAAAGGTATCTTTGATTAGTTCACATCCATTTAAAAGATCTACGCAATCTGTATCTAGTCTTGAGCCCAGTGGATGGGGGATGCTCAATTCACACCTTCCTGATGGGACCCAATCTTATTTTTCCTGCCTGAAACCTACCACTACAGCCTCAGGAGACAGCAGGTGGTTGTCAGGCCCTTACTGTGGCTGACTTGGAGCTTTGAAGAACTCAGTAGCTCTGGCTTTGGAGGTCGTCATATCAGCTGCAGTGGAGAACACAGATGAATGGGGGTGGGGGGAGATGAGGGCCTTTCTGAACAATTGTGCTCTCAGCTGTCTGGGCAAAGTGTTAATGACTACTTGCAAACAATACTGCTGTTTGTGTCCAGTGACCTGGAGGAGAGATTCCATGGGCTGGGGACAGAGTGGGGCGTACTGGCTCAGAGTCCTCAGCTTGGCTGTGTTGTTTGGGGATGGGAGAGGGCAGTTGTTAGCTCTGGGGAGGCCAAGGGGCGGAAGTGCAGGGGAGTACACATGCCTCCATTTGTCTGAACTGACTCTAAAGCACTGGAGTCATGAGAATCAAGTTTCCTGGAGAACAGGTTCATGGGAGAAAGAAAGGCTTTAGAGAGGCTATTTTTGACTGTAGTTTTGATGCTGTTACCACTGGTTTGCCTCTGTGTGTATCATAGCCATGGTGACCATATGCTTTCCAGGTTAGCATGGGTCAAGGTGGTAAACTTTAATGTTTATTTAAGAAAATATTTGGTATTTACTTTAGACAATATTTACACAGTCACCATAGCTATGGATTACGAAGAGGAGATTCTCAGATGACCAGCCCATGGACTGCCTTAATAAGCAAACAGGAAAAAACTGAATCTTCTGAAGGGGGAAAAACAAAGGGCAGAGTATGAAATGTAGAGGAACTCTGGCAATGCCCGAACAAACGTATTACTAGTTTTGAGTCATCTCCAGTGTTTAAGGGTCACCCCTCTGTCCCCTAGGTTGACATCTTTGTAGGAAGGCCAGCCTCAGTGGATACAGCCATGGGCTCCTGTACCTGTCTGGGTATGACAGTGGAGCACAGTGGCAGCGGATGGAAAGCTCAGAGAAGAATGGTGTCTGGGGATTCGTTTCCACTTTCCTTGATGTGTTTGCTGCCTCCTTCCGCTGGAGGTCCAGTGTCTGTCAGCTCCCCCAAATTTGTTTCTGAATTCTGCCTAGGCTGGCAAGTGTTTTCTGCTATTACTAGCTCTGAAAGAATGCACTGTACCCTGCCTATATTTTTGTAAAGAATATCGCAAACTCTCAGTCACCAGGATTGAGAGCATCATCTGTTTCCTGTGGGAACCCTAACTGATGGGGGTGTTATTCTTGAGTAAATAAAGGATTGGAAGGGTGCTTGAGGGCTCTGATGGTGACCCCAGCGCAGGCAATGCAATGGATATTGTGTAAGTTGTGTCTAGGTCTTGTGTTGAGAAGCAAAACTCTGGCTGCCTGTGGCTTATGTTGCTGCATTTTGAGATGTCCTCTGGGTCACTAGCCCATGGCCTAGGTGACATTGCTCCACAGCACTGGCTTTTACTTGGAACCTGGGAGACAGGAGGAAACACATCTTCTCCATGAGCACTGCTGGCCCAGAAAGAGGCTTCAGAGTCAGCAGATGAGAGCAGGCAGTTCCTCTCCAGTGACATTTGTCTCTCCTGCAGCACTGGTAGCCCAGATCCATCCTGGCATCAGGCCACCGCAAGGAGAGCTCCCCCAAGCTTCCGCCTGGTGCCTCCCGCAGTCTTCTCTGGCGTTCCTCTCTCCTTGTAAAGCACAGTTCCATTAGCAAGTGAAATGTCATATTTTCAAACCAACTCACCCACCCACCAACCATCCGACCAACCCTCACTAGTCGGCCAAGTCATCTGGGTGAGATCACAAAGAAACCTCAGTGTCCTGGATCTCCCTCTGGCCATCCCTCGGGGGACACAGGGATCCTTTCATGGTTAGAGCAGGACTTGCTTTCTTCCTGCTAGTTCATGGGTGTCCGTCTCCAAAGCTGTGATGTCTTTCTAACTAGTGATGCTGCCTGATCCATCCTGGCGAGATGCTAGGTGTTTGTCTAGTTACGCATTGTCTGTTACTGATAGAGGTGAACTGGCCACAGTTTGAAATTTGATCAATATCCCTGGCATCCTTTTCTGACCAAATGTTCCCTCAGGGAAGCCTTCTTCTTCACTTGGCTTTTCTCGGCCAGTTCATCAGAAAAACAAAAACCCAGACACTGCTCAGATTGAAAAAGTGATCAAGGACAATTTGCCCCAAACCAACGACGCTACCCTGATCAGATTCAGAGAGGACAGGAGTGAGGCAGAGGCAGCTGGAGTTGAGTTCCCTGGCAAAGAAATAGTAAATAGCAAAACAGTTATTTCAGAGGGCAAACTGTTTGCCTCACCAATAAAGCAGGGCTCATGATGGAAAATAACTCAGAAGAAAGTGGGAAGCAAATGGATTGAGTTGCTATGGGAACGCAGTTGGGGGAAAAAAACATGAGATATGTAAATACTGTAATTTGGTATTTTAATGTACTTCTTTTCCACGAAGAAAATTCCCTGACAACTAAAAACTAACAGCTCATTCCTCTGCTGCACGGCTGTGATTGACAGAGGCTGGGCAAGTAGGTGTCTGAATTCAGTTTTGCCCCTAGGAGCCAATACAGCCATATTTTCAAGCACAGAAGTCACGCATCTGCAGCAGTGACTCTTCATGTGGGGTGCGTATTAATTAGACACACTCACTCAGGGAACTTTGAGAACTCCAGCCATACCGCAGGTCAATGAAACCAGATTCTTTGGAGGTGGGGGCCTGAGATTTTGGTTTGTCATTTGTTTGATGGTTTGAGACAGCATCTTGCTTTGGCCTTGAATTTGTGAGCCTCTTAGCCTCCAAAGGGCTGTGATTACAGGAGTGAGCCTGTGCTTGAAAAAACAAACAAACAAACAAACCAAGACAAAACACTCCCTGTCATTTCTACTCTAGACGCTATCTGTGAACAGTGAAGGGAACCACTGGCCCCAGATCCTCATTTGATAGATTCCTGGCTATCGATTGCTTATTTTGCTGGATGGCTTTTCTAGGTTTTATTGTACCCACTTCTAGCTGATTTGGACATTTAAACACTGATAATGGGAAATGATTAGCAATCATTATTCTTCCATTGTTAGTGCTATTATCTTCACCATAATAGATTAGTGTTTCTCTGAGTTGGAGAAAACATGTGATACTCTATAACAAATCATTATCATTTAGCCCCAATAATAATAATGATTAACTGCTGTTATTTTTAAAGTTATGGATTGATAATCATAATTTTGGAAGTTTGGATGTTGCTCTAAATGTTGATATCAATCTATATTTTTTAATTACCACCATTAATTAGCATTAGTTATGTGGTAAATCAATAAGCATACATACAGACATAGTTATTCAACCTGCTTAATCATAGTCGACATCAGAATTAGTAAATGGTACAATTTCTATTTTCCCAATGACAAAAGTGCTACACACAGGGCCATGCAACTTTCATTAGTTTTTATATTAAAATTCAGACATATCTGGGTGTGGAACATCTAAATCCTGATTTCTTCCTTTCTGCCCAGTGCCCACCTCTTGAACTCTGTCCATTGTGATGTCCTTGTCTCCTCCCTATGGTGTCACTCTAGGAAAAAAAACAAACAAACTATAATTTAGTCTACAGTTTACTGCTATCCTGGAGAATTGGAATGAGTGAGGGAGATGGGTTCATGGTAAAGGTCCATATTATAGCAAGCATGAATGCACGGTGAAAATCGCATTTGGTGTCTAATCTAAATTCAGGCGTTCTCTTACGAGGTGACTGGAGAGTTCACCCCGTGGAAAGCTTGCTTCCTTAAGAAATATCCTCATTCTTCTTAGCTGCAAATGCCAGTGCTATACTGTGCAGCTTTGGAGTCAGCCCCTGGGTGCTGCTGACTATGTTCAGGCTCTTAGCCTGAGCTGTGGGACACCTGGGTTCTTTGTCTTCTCCTCTGGTGTGTCTGAGATGACCTCTTCAGCTCCCCAGGCAAGGTTAGCCCCCCCCCCCATTATTATCTGTTTCTACAACACCACTGTAATCTTTACCATAAGTGATTAAGTAAAAGTTTTTATTTAATGTGAATCCTTCCCCACACACAGATAGCTCCATGAGGATGGGAAATAGTGATATTCAGCCTTCTGTCCAAATGAGGCTGGTGCCCTCCTATTCAGATTAGATAACAGATATGATTAGTTTTTTCTCTTTGTGACTTATTATTTGAAACTTTGCTGCATCAGATCCTTAATAACAACTTAAAAAAACCAAAACAGACTTTTCAGTTAGAGAAAATTTCAAATATGCTTCAAAGTAGAAATTTTATAAGAGCTCCTATGAATCTATCATTTAATTTTAATGATCACCATATTTTGTCAATGTTGCCTTAATTTTTTTTTCATTGAAGGGACTGACTTGAACTGATTTTTGGACTTCTGTTTTCAGTTCTTAAATCTCCTTAGATTGGAAGTCATTACTCATTCTTTTAAAAATACTTTTAAGTTTATATTGTTATTTGTTTGTTTAGAATTTCATAATGCATACAATGCACTTTGATCATATCACCTCACATTCTTCCTTCCAACTCCCCCCAGATCCATCCCAAGGCCCACCACTCCCAATGTTGCATTCCCCTCCCCCTCAAAGAGCCTACTAATTCTAATTTGTGCCGCTCATATTCTCCTTGGTGTGGGGCCATCCACTGTAGTGTGGTCAACCTCCCAATGGCCACGCCCTCCAAGAAAACTGACTCCCTCATCCTCCGATACCATCAACTGTCAACAGCTTCTCAGCCAGGGGGTGGGGCTTGTGAACCTGTTCGTGCTCCATGCTAGCGTGTTGATTGTCTTAGTATTGTCTAGGTCTTGTGCAGGAAACCACAGCTGCTGGGAGTTGGAGGGTCGCAGTTCCGTCCTGTCTAGAAGACACTGTGTTAGCCTAATCTTGCCTCACCTCGGGCTCTTAAAATCATTTTGCCCTGCTCTACCACTATGGGCTCTGAGCCTGGGGCGACCAAGAGTAGTGATACTAGCCCGTGTTGTGTGATACAGATGTTCCATTTGTGGACGAGCACTTTACTCTCACCTTTCTCTGCTCTTGGAACAGTTGGGAGTTTCTGTGTTAACCACCATGCGCCGCACAAAGGAACATCTGTAAGTATATACGAGAGCGCCGCGCTAATCTGTGAGTAGAGAGATACAAACTTAGAGGAAATTTTGTTCCTATGGGGCTTAAATCCATTTAGAGAGAGGTTGGTCACCACTCTAACACTCACGCCACTTCTTTACCCAGAGCATATCTTGCCAGGCTGGTTGTTATTGCAGCCTACCCAGCTGTGTAAGATTGTTGATGACTTCTACCCACCCTCAGGAGCCTCGATGGCACCTTCCAGTATATGAAAGTTTGCCAGCAGCTAACTAGAAGCTTCCTGGTCACGACCAACTTGATTCCCCCATGTCCCTTCACAAAAGTCTGGTGTTTTCAACAATAGGGTCTTACCATCAAGTTCTGGTAGACGGGCACAGCAATGATAACAGCATGTATTGTTTTGGTGCTCTTGGGGACAGCCAGCCCTGACCAAACAACTTGAGGTGAGGTATCCCACATCTGGCACTGGGTCTTTTATTGGTGATCTATGGCTTCTGGGAAGAGCATTGTCCCCTGTGCAGGATAATTCCAATTACATGTTTACATATGGAAAAATGTATTTAGGAAGCTTATAAAGTAGTATGTTTCCATACAGTCCCTTTAAGCATCTTTAGTGTTATTCTTCTCCACATCCCCCTCCTCTCCCATACCCTCCATCCCTCTCCCTACTTAACCCTCCTCCTCCACTCGTCTCTCGTTTTCCTTCAATCAACCGCGTTCTGCTCCCCCCACTCCATTATGACTTTTCTTCCCTCTCTCCACCGTTGACCTCTTTCTGGTCTCTTGACTTTTACAGATACTCCGAGTTAAAAACACAAATCCAAAGATTTTATATTAGGATCCACTTAGGAGTGAGAACACGGGCTGTCTGTCCTTTGGGGTTTAGGTTACCCCACTCAGAATGATTATTTCCAGTTCTGTCCATTTCTCTGAGTTTTTCACAATTTCATTTTTCTTTACAGCAGGGGAAAAATTCCATTGTAGAGAGGCGCCACATTTTCTTTTTCTACTCATCCTTTAATCGACATCTCGGCTGTTTCCATGTCCTAGCTGTTGTGAACAGAATAGGTATGAGCATGAGTGAGCATGCGTGTTTGTAGTAGGGAATGGAGTCCTTTGACTACATGCTCGGGAGTGGTGGAGCTGGGTCACATGGTAGATCTCTTCCGAGTTTCCTGAGGAACTGGCACACACGGTGGCTGTACCGCATTTTATTCCCACCAACAGTGCAGGGAGCTTCTCTTCTCCCCTCACCAGAGTTTACTGTCTTTTGTTTTCTTAATCTTCGCCTTTCTGGAGGGGGTTAATTAATCACAAAGTGGCTTTAATTTGCATTCCCCAGATGACTAAGGATGATGAACACTTAAACTGTTTCTTAGCCTTTTGTATTTTCATCTTCCGAGAGTTCCCTGTTTAGTTCCATCACCCATTTTTAATTGGCTTATTTGTTTTCTTGGTGTTTAGTTTTTTTTAAAATCACTCACGTTTTTAAATGAGATAAAACTATAAGGAGGTAACAGGGCCAGGAAGTGGCAAGAGAGGGGTGAATATAATCCAACTACATTATATTTTGTATGGAAATGTCATAGTGAACCTTCTTCATACAATTACAGCAAAATTTAAAACAACAGTACAACAATAAACAACTGAAATTAAATTTAAATTTCCCTGAAAATCGATGATTTTTCTCTGGCTTATTAAAGAAAGTTGCAGAAAGGATGATTCATACTGAAGTCTGGAGAGATGTGCAAACCCAAAGCGCTTCAACAGAGATCTGCTTACTCAGAGAAGCCACTGATAATCTGGCAATTAAATGATAATTCTGATGAATCAATGAAGGTGGAGTGTGGGCTGGTCAGAGAAAGAGAAACTTCCGGTCCAATGTACCCTTCCCATTTCTTTGCATTTCATCTCCAGGCATTGCATCCCTTTCCTCAAGTGAATATCTATGAAAGATCCTCCAAGGCCTTTTAGAGGCCGAGAGAAGGAGGCGCAACCACTGAAGGTGACGAGTGCCTGGAGCAGTCTCCCCAACAAAGACCTACAGTCCAGGGAAAGGACTGTCCAGAGCTTATCTCATCAAAGAGGGTGCTTTATCTGCTCCAGTCTCCTTTAGACTTGCATTCTTACTTAAGAGGCAGGGAAATTGTATCATTCTGGAGGTACACATTAAAACCACAGTATTAATACAGGTGTAGCAAAGACAAGTTTAGTCATAGAATTAGTTTCCTTCCATACCTCACCACCACACTAACAGGAACCAAGTACAAGAGTGATAACAGCTGAAACAGTTACATGACCCAAGCCCTCTCTGGGTAGATAAATAAGAAGCTCCAGGCCTAGAGTGGAAACCAAAACAAGAATCTGAAGCCTCAGGCTCTCACAATGACACAAAACATGAAGCACCAATCCCAGTCGTATTAACAGATTTCTTCATACTAAAGACCTCTTCCCCAATACACATGCCTATAAACAAAACAACAAAACAAAATAAAATAAAATAAAATTGCAAGGCTTGTTGAAAGCAAGAATAAAACTAGGCTGAGGAATGAAGTGACCATTGGGACACAGATGCTAGGGTTATCAATTGTAGAATCTGAAAGAACACTTTTCAAGTGAAATGCTACCATGGGAAAATTAGACAGCATGCAGAAACAGAGTGGTGTCCAGAATTAATGGTGAGTCTAAGGAAGAATCACAGAAAATGCTATTGATCAAAAAAGTCCTGGGCATCATTACTTATTCAGCTCCGTTTTTCTTTCCCTGGCACTCCAGTCATACATATGACACACCTTTTGGTGTGTGATACCTACATGTCCTGGCTATTGTGGAATATTAGTTTAAGATGTGTTATACTCTTTTATCCTGTGGAATATTTGTTTAATGATGCAAAGATTTGTTGTATTCTTTTATGTTGCATTTGTTTAACTCTGTGAAGCTGTGTTACTGTGCCTGTCTAAAATACATGATTGGTCTAATAAAGAGCTGAATGGCCAATAGCTAGGCAGGAGAGGGATAGGCAGAGCTGCCAGGCAGAGAGAATAAGTAGGAGGAGAAATCGAGGCTAGAGAAGAGAGAAGAGGAGGACCGAGAAAAGGAGAGGAGGACACCAGGAGCCAGCCAGCCAGCCAGCCATGGAGTAAGAAGGAAAGAAATGTATATACAATAAAGAAAGGTAAAAAGCCAAGAGGCAAAATGTAGTTAAAGAGAAACAGATAATTTAAATTAGAAAAGCTGGCTAGAAACAAGCCAAGCTAAGGCTGGGCATTCATATGTAAGAATAAGTCTTTGTGTATTTATTTGGGAGCTGAGTGGCAGGCCCCCAAAGAGTAAGAGTAAAAAAAAAACACACAAAGACAAAAAACCAAAAAACCCAACTATACCTGGGTGATCAGTTCTGGGCTAGGGAAATGGGTCTTTACTTAGCATTGCAGTATGGGAAGTTTTTATTGACCTGTCTTCAAACTCAAGGATTCTTCTTGTGGTGATGTACACCCAAGGATAAGCTGCCAAAGACATTCTTTAACTCTGTTGCAGGGTTCCTAATTTCCAGCATTTATCAAAATAAAGACAGAAGCACATATTAAGAAAATTACAAAACTCTGGTTAAAAAACACCATACTTATGCAAATGGATAGAGTTTCTCTCTTCATAGATTAGAAGACTTATGGTTTTGTTTTCTTCAAGTTGACCTGTAGACTCAAAAAATACAGTATTTAAAATCCTAGGAAGCTGTTTTATAGATATTGACAACTTGCTTATGAAGTCTGTAAGGCATAGATAGCAGAGTATGAATAGTTACAGAATCCAGTGGGACTGATTAGAGCACAGAAATAGATGAACACAAATATAAAAATGTAGTCAACCAATCTTCAGCAAAGGAGCAAAGGAAATTTAATGGGGAAAGCATCAACTTTCATTATGTGCTGCTGGGATCACTGGGTACCTATGTGTAAAAACACAAACATAGAAAGATACCTTAGATCTTTCACAAAATTAATTCAAAATGGATTATATACCCAATTTTAAAGTGCAAAACCATTAAATTTCTCAAAGAAAAATAAGAGCAAGTTCACATATTCTTATGTTTGACCACGAAACTTTAGCTATCAAACCCAAAGTTAAAATCCATGAAAGAAAATGTGATCAATTGAACTTTTGAAAAACCAAGAATTCTGATCTATGGAATATACTATTAAGAGGACAGAAAGAGAAACCAAATGTGGGAAGAATATATACTTGATGAAAATATGTTGAAAAGTAAATATCAGATAAACGACTTATATCCAAAATGTACAATAGATTGTAAAACTCCATAGTAAGAAAACAGCCAGTTAAAATTCACCAGGAGGTCCGAATTGACATCTCACCAAATGGCACACAGACCTCCAAATAAGCTAGAGAGGTGCAGGCATCACTGGCAGATAGCAAATTCTAAATTAAAACGGTAGATATTGTTAGGATAGACACAGTCTGGAAACCTTGACACCACCAACTGCTGGTAAGGATGCGCAAAGAGATGAATTCCCATCAATACCATTTGAAATGATCACTTTTGAAAAGAAAAATGACACACAATGAAGCAGATCCTTTGGAAGATAGAAAAATATTTGAAAGTTTATCCATATTCCTAACAATCAGTAAGAATGCTTCTAGGTATTTACCTAGTTAGTTGGAAAACAGAAAAACCTACACAAGAGTGTTTTGAATACCTCTATTTATATCACCCTAAACCAGAAATGGCCAAGTATGCTTAAACTTGGTGAATGGATAACACATGATAGTATAATCCATACAATGGAGTATTCATGGATTGAAAAGAAAAGAGCATGAAGACACAAATTATACATCAGTTCTTGTTTTCCAAGACAGCAGCCCAGGCTAGCCTCATACTTGCTATCTAGACAAAGCTGGCCTTGAACTCCTGATCTTCTTGCCTCTCCCTTTGGAGAAATGGTTCTCAACCTGTGGGTTGTGACCCCTTTGGGGCTTGAATGACCCTTTCGTAGGGGTCACATATCAGAGAGCCTATATATCAGGTCTTTACATTATGATTCATAACAGTAGCAAAATTACAGTTATGAAGTAGCAGGAAAAATAATTTTATGGTTGAGGGGTCATCACAACATGAGGAACTGTATTCAAGGGCTGCCACAGCATTAGGATGGTTGAGAACCACTCCTTTAGAGTGATAGGATTACAGGCAATCGTAACCACTCTTGGCTTCATGCATGAGATTTAAATGTATATTGAGTCAGACTTTGTGACATTTTGGAAAGGTAAAGTTATAGAAATGATAAGATCAGTGTTTGTTAGCAATTCAGGGGTGGGAACAGAGAGTTGAATAGGTGAAGATTTTTTTTTCCCTGAGAGATCAGATTGACGTAAGATGATGTAATGGTGAAAAATATATTTCTTAAGTTCCATAGGATTTTAAAATACAAGGAGTGAGCCTGAATATCTTCAAATTAAAAGCTCATTAAGGATATTGCTATACAAACAGATATTTGCTTTTTGTGTCATCTGAGGGGTCTGAGCAAGAGAACTGCAGGAGCAGCAAGTGTGCATCACACTCAGATCTTATTGGACATTATTCTAAATTTAAAAAAATGAAGAAAGGGATGGGCAGGGCTTTAGGGAAGGATATGGTGGAGATGACCCTGGAATACCTTGTACCAGAAAGTTCTCAAAATAGCAGCAGCAGCAGCAGCAGCAACAGCAACAGCAACATCAATACCCCCCATAAAACCAAACCCAAGCCCAGTGATCCAACCAACCAACCAACCAACCAACCAACCAACTAACCAACCAACCAATCAACCAAAGAAACCACAACAAAACCAAAGTACAGATTTGATCAAGCCTACAGGATGAAGGGAGTGTGTCAGATGAGATGCAGATTTGATAAAGCCCACAGGATGATAGGAATGAGTCAGATGAGATACAGATTCAGTCAAGCCCACAGGATGATGGGAGTGTGTCAGGTGATACGCCTCTGGTAACTGACAGCTGCTCAGATCTTATTGGACATTATTCTAAATTTAAAAAAATGGAGAAAGGGATGGGCTGGGCTAGGGTCATCTCCAACTGACACTGGATAAACCTGGAACGATATGAGAAATATAAAACCATACTGGATTACAACTCAAAATATACAGTGAGTAACAGTGAACTCAAGTACATAGACATCTAAATAAATAACCCAATAAGCAGATAAATGGGGGAGCCGCTATAGGTAAAAAAGCACACAGTGTGGAAAGGGGAACCTGAAAAATGCTACCTCAGTTAGGATACATCAAGCTGAAGTAGATGTCCTTGACGTGATAGCATAGTGGTGGAATTCTCTGAGAACACACAGTCCAGCTTAGCCATAGAGAAATTCTTACTGAGGGATTCCGTATAAAAATACCTGACCAGGTTTGCAAAATAATCAAGGCTATTGGACACTAGCTGGGTATGGTAGTGCACACATGTAATCTCTAACTACTCAGGAGGCAGAGGCAGGGGGATTGAGAATTAGATGCTTGAGCAATGTAGGAGACCCTGTCTAAATAAAGCATAATGGCAGGCAAGAAGAGGCCGAGAAACAATCATTAAATGTAATGTGGAATCCTGGATGAGGGGCTGGGTTAGAAAAACGGACATTCAGTAAAAGTAAGGAAATAAATGATGGCCGATTGTTTTAAAGATCTCTTTGTTCTTGATGTTCTGCAGCTTTAACATAATCTACTAGTGTTTTTCTCTTTCTCCCTTCTTTTCTTTTTCTTTCTCCTTAATTTGTGGGTTTCTCCCTATAAAAACTCCCAGCCAGGCAGTGGTGGCGCACGCCTTTAATCCCAGCACTCAGGAGGCAGAGGCAGGCAGATCTCTGTGAGTTCGAGGCCAGCATGGTCTCCAAAGCGAGTTCCAGGAAAGGCACAAAGCTACACAGAGAAACTCTGTCTGAAAAAACAAAACCAAAACCAAAACAAAAAAACCTCCTGGCCTTTACTGATTCTACCTCATCATTTCTGCTACCTCTCTATAGATCCAGATTGGACATAGGGCAGACCTCTTTTATCCATCTCTTGGTTTCTTTTGCAATTTTAATTCTATACATTTCTGTGCTACATTTTATGTATTTTTTCAAACCAGCCTTTCAGCTTAGCTATTCTATCTCTAGTTTTATGCTCTAATTAATCAACTGAGTTTATAATTTCTTTAAAAACTTTTATCTAAAAATTTTCCATACAATGAGGTTTGATCATATTTTTTCCTTCCAGATCCTCACCAACTCTCCCTCCAACTTCCTGGCCTTTCTTTCAAAAAAAAAAAATTCAAGAAAATAGCAAAAATAAGATTATAATTCAATTTATACCTTTTTGTTTCTAGAGTTTCTATTTTGTTATTTCTCCAATCTGAAATAATTTTTGTAAGCTTTCCTTTTTTCCTTTGTCATGCTATCAAAATTTAACATCCTCAAACATACTGAACACATTTATTTATATTCTGTTCTAGTAATTACATAATCTGAAATGGATGTTCTAATTTGTAGTATCCTTTTCTTCTGACTCCTCGATATGGCAGCTTGCTCTGTATGTTTGGTAGATTTTGATATTGAGTTGATGCTGGTTGAAACTAATAATTTTTTTGAGGCTTGGGTGTGTTCATCAAAGCATGTTCCATCAGAAAGGATTTGATTTGAGTTGCATGGCTAATTTGGGGCCATTTTAAAGGAACTTTTTCAGATCCTATATGTTTTGTACATTTCTTGCTATAAAGAATGTGAACTTGTGTTTAGGTAAGTTTTAGGGACACACACACACACACACACACACACACACACACACACACTCAAAAACTTCACTTGATCCAGAATCTAGATTGCATTGCACAGTATCTTTATTGGCATTTTTTTTTTTTTTCTTCATGGAGCTGTTACCCGATTCCTTTGAGGACTCTCCCTTTTGCTTCCTGGCTTTCCTCCGTCTTTTCAGATCTGACCTCCAGTCCTGTTTAAGCCTGGGACTTGTTGAAAGCCAGGTGTAAGCTTCCGAGACTTGGCCAACTCCCTCATGGTTCTTATGCTCATTTACCATTTGGATCTGTTTTGTATGCCTAGCACGGAAACATATGTTGAACTGAGTTGCATAAGGCAGATGTGAGAATTATTCTATGTAGCCTTCGGAGTGGAAAGGCAAGGGGTCTAGCTTGTCTAAGGAAGACTGCTTCCAAATAAATTGAGCTGGTGAGCTTCCTGGCTACTTGAAGGACTCAATAGCAGGCTAGAAACACACACACACACACACACACACACACACACACACACACACACACACACACACACACACACTGGGGATGTGGTAAAGGAGACTTGGTTATGTCTAGAGGGTTTGGTTGATCAGAATGCTTCCATAGTTTCTTTCATACTCGTTTTAAGCTGGTCTGTGGGGCAGAATCAAAGCCGCGATACCCTCAGGCGGAAGTCTCCTTTCACTGGCCGCACTGAAAGTTCACCGTGTTGCCTTGCCAGCTCCGCTCTCTGCTCGCACATGGCTCCTTGACTCCCGGCATTGGAGCCTTCAGGGGACCCCAGGCTGTGCCAGAGCAGGGGAAGCCTGGATCTGCTATTCACATGGCCATGTCTCTAGGTGGCCATGGTTTGTCTTGGCTGCATTGCTGTTTAGGGGGGAAGTAGACTGCGGCATGAAGAGTGAGCAACAGGTGTTACCAGGAGTCCAGACAGAAGAAGGATCCTCCACTCACAGGAACGCACACTTGTTTAAAATAGCTTGTACCCCAAGTGCTCTTCTGACGGCACTCGTCCGTCCCGGCTGTGGTTTAAGATTATCTGGCAACTCAGAGAATGGCTTCTGGGGCTGTAAAATCATCAGCGAGCTAAGCCAATTCACCCAGGCAGGAAGGATTATGTGCCTCAGCGTTGGTTTCAGGAAATTCACGCAAACTGATTTCCCAAGTTTCTGTGTTCCCGCGTACCCAGCTTCCCTCCAGGGCAGCCGCAGCTTAACCAGGACAAGGCTCTGGCTGGTGACGTCTTTGGTGCTTTTTCAATTGCCCATGAAGAAACTGGGTGAAAAGTATTCACACTGTCATGCTTGGTGAAATAAGGAGAGGAATCCAACGGCAGACATGGACAATCTGTTTCTGTGCAGAGACTAATGGAAGGTCCCTTTCCTCTTGGGGAGTGGAGATTGGATGCTTTTGCAAAACTCAGTAATTAGCTCTGGAAGGGAACCCAGGCGAATTACAGTGTCAAAGCCAGAGGTTAACCAGACACAGGCCAGAGGGACTCTGTACGGTGCTGACACAGATTAGTGCTTTGTGCTGCATGTAGGATTAGAGACAGATAATTTCATGTTAATGTAGCACACAAAGGCTAGACAATTCATAGGTGACCTGGGAAGCTACCACTCAGCTTATAATGGGATATTTTCTCTGTAATAATTTCTTTTGTGTTTTGGTCCTTGTTTAATAATGCTTTATGCTTCTCACAGAAAAAAGAAAGATATGTAAAAAGGAAATAGAAAGAGCGAGAGCAAGTGGGAGAGAGAGGAGAGGAGAGGAGAGGGAGGAGAGGGGAGAGAGGAGAGAGAGAGGGGGGGAGAGAGAGAGAGAGAGAGAAGAGGAAAGAGAGAGGAAAGAGAGAGAGAGAGAGAGAGAGAGAGAGAGAGACAGAGAGAGAGAGAGAGACAGAGAGAGAGAGAGACAGAGAGAGAAACCAAAACAAATAAAAAAATTCTATGGTCACCCACCCAGAGAAAACTACTCAGTGTATTGATGTCTGTCTTTCTAGATCTCTCTCTCTCTCTCTCTCTCTCTCTCTCTCTCTCTCTCTCTCTCTCTCTTTCTCTCTCCTGCAATATGACACTATAATCCTTTGTCATTACTTTTCCTACTTGTTACCTGACCCAATGAAGAGGTGTTTAGTGACCACCTTCTGTGTGCCTGGTTCTGCTCTGACACTGGGTGTGTTCTGCGGGACAAAGCAGGGCCTTTGTCCTCATGGGACTCTGTCTCATTGAGAATCTGTAGTCAGTGTATTTTCATATCCACAGATGCACTTATGAAACAAAATTTTTGGTGTCTCTTGTTTGTCTGTGATATAAGTGGGGTTTAATTGTCCCATTGCTGGACATTCAGATCTGCTGCAACTTTTTGCTATCAAAATGAATTGATGTACAGTGATGTTCATGTACAGTCAGAGACAAAGGCTGTAATGAAAAAAGAAAGAACCTCAGGAAATGGAAAGTTTCCTAAGGTAGGGAGAATAAATGGGCTCTCTTTGTTTGTGACCTGCAGGCAATTAGTCCCAAAGACACTTAGACAAGAGAGTATCGTTGATGGCCTTGGCTGACTGCGTGGCTAGGGTTGGAGTGTGCATGCGATCTGTGTGGCTGTGTTTCAGATGACCCAGGTAGATTCCTGCTAGCTCTTGACCTTGAGCTCAGTTGGGGACATTTATGGGTTTCAAGAGTCTTAGAGGCCCAGCTGTTCTTATTGTGCTGCTCTGTGAGGGTGAGCTGCTTGAAATGACATTCGAGCAACCAATCAAAGGCCCCCTCCCCCCAAGCACATATCCAGCAATCGGACGCAGCCTGCCTTGGAGCGGTGAGGGTAGATGAAGATTGCAGTTTGTGCATAAGGACTGTGTGCTGAGGCCTTGTGAACAGGAAGGAGGATGCAGCAGGCAGGGAGCAACTGCAGGGACTAAGGGTTGATTGCTATGGCATCCTGACCTTGTAGATTCCTGTGTGTTACCATGCTGTTCCTTTTTGCTCCCAAGAGGAAGTTCATCCTTCCTTTGGTATCCAGGCATCTAGCATGTGAGCCCTCGATGCTGAGATCACTTTCAATGCTTTCCTCTTCTGTTCTTATTCCCAACGCTGTCAGCATTCCTGACAAAGCATCTGCACCTGCTGTTCAAACACCGTTCTCTCTTTTGACCAACTGTAGACACTTGGATGAGTCTTTTGTTTGCGCTTCTTTCTGGTCCAGTTTCTACACAACATCGGTCTATATTGTCTTTAGGACATTTGGGGCACGTCCATGTTGCTGCTGGGTTAAAATCTTTCACTGACTTCCTATTGCCCACGAGGTAAAACGCACTCTTTAGACAGTGACAAGGATTCTTGTGTGTCCCTGGCCCCCTGCTGTTTCCCAGCTGGGAACCACTGGATGAATCCTGCAGTGACACATTTATTCAGGCCTCTGTGTCCTTGAGCATGTTCTTCCTTTCTGCTTGGAATGTCTCTTGGTGTGAGGCACACCCTTCTTTGTGACCTCATTGCCTTGTGTCCATCCATCCCTGCACTGTGACTACACAGGTTACCCATATGCTTATCTACTGGACCATAACCTTTACAGGACTGGGAGCACTGAAGACTGAATTCTATTAAGTTTTGTGTCTCCAATCTCATTGCAGTGCCTAACCTATATTTATTGTTGAATGGGTGTTTACTGAATCATAAATGTTGGGAGGATAGATACAGTTGGGATTCCAAAAATATTTTCTTTGATTTTGACCTAACAAGCAGGCATTCACAGCTCTTAGTACAGATTTACATTTTTGGACAACTTTAAAATTTTGATTCTAATGGTAGTTAATTTTGTTATATTAGAGATAGTTATTAGATAATATTTGTTGTCACATAAGTGTAAGACTTGAAGTTGTAAACACATACATACATGCACACGCACACATGTGCATACACATTTACACATGTGCACTGTTCCAACTCTAAGTGGTGGTTTCCAACACTCCACTTTCTGACTCTGTACTAGGCTCTTAAATTTTAGACTTTTTGGGGCATCTGGGGATCCTGATCTTTTGGATTCAAAAGAGAAAATTAAAAATGTAAAGAGAGCAACCTGAAAATGTAAAACAAAAGCGAAATCCACCAAAATTACCCTAAAAATGAAAACAGGAACCAGCAGGGTAAGGATTATCATGCATTTATAAAGACATTGAAAACCAAACAATTGTTTTCTCTTTCAAGCAGATATGTGTTCTCATATTTTCCAAACGTGAGCGGTAATATTCTTCTTTATAAGGCAGTTGTAAGGATTAGATGAGAATTTTATAGTCTCTATAGCAAATACCAGAAAATTGCCATTCTATTTGTTGTCTGGCAATGACAAGTGGCTTCTGGGACTTTTTACAGAAGGAAGGCCCAACTCGGCACTAGACGAGAAGACTATTAAACACTTGTTCTGGACTTTCAGCTCCTGCTCTACCACCTACTTATTTACCCATGAATCCCACATGCAGCTTTCTTCTCAGGCCACGCTCTAGATAAGATCTGTGGGTTAATATCCCTGCTGGAGCTGGCGAATTAGGACATTAGCTTTGCACCTCTGTGGGAGTGTGATTTGGACGTTTCCCTTAAAATACAAAGTTTTTCCTTGTCAGGAGACCTGAGGACAAATTTGGGGAAGAGCCATTTGGTAAAGAAAAGATTGAATAAAGCGAGAGGTATAGAAAGTACCATTGATGTTCCACTTGGGGTTGCCTACTCAGCCTCCTCTCATACTGTTCAGGATTGCCCCCTGAATGATTTATTTTATACTTTGGTTCAGTGTTGCAATGTGAGTCTAATGGCCAGTCACTTTTTCAATAGGTGGGTGGTGAGGAGTTACATTGGAAGGGTAGAGAAGAGCCCATTTGGTTCAAATGTTCATTTTGAAGGAACTCAAGCTAACCTACTGGTGGATCCAGGTGAGGACACAGTGGAATTGCTGGAGGACAAGGTGATTTCACAGCATGGAGAGGGGAATGATTGGGAATGTTACTTCCCATAGCTACTTAATAAATATAGTAAAGCATATTTTCAACCATTTTTAGTCATAAAGTTCAGTGACATTAAGAATGCTCACACTGTATTTATTAGCATAGATGGAAAAATAAACCTAAATGTATCTTCATAATTTATAAGAGTGGTACCATGGAGGTTAAATCATAGTGCAATTTATTTTCTCATGCCCACACCTATGTTGTCTATAGTTGGTCATCAGGTATATTGTTGTTATAATTTCTGCAAGCATTAACTATAAGCTGTAGAACAGTTATGAGGGTAATGTCATCATTCATTGATGGGGAAGGTATAGTGAATCACATCCTTCAAAGATACTCAGTCTGGTGACACAAGGATTCTGGACTGCATGTGGAAGATTGGGAAAGTGTATATGTTATGTCACAGCATAGTTATCACCTTGGAGTCTATTCATTGTACACTTTGATGTGCCATAAAAGTTTGTGGCTCTTGTTGAACTCTGATTATGTAAAATGAGTAGACATCAAAAACATGGAAAAACCACACAACATGGGGAAAATGAAAATAGCCATTTCTTTTTCAGCTTTGGGCCAAACTTAGTATTTGTTTCATTTAGTTTGTTACTCAATGAATATTAAAAAAAGGATGTTCACACTGTTGCACAACCATCACCACCATCTATCTCTGGGATCTCTTTCATCTTCCCAAACAGAAATCCCATTGATTAAAAACTTTCCACTGCACCCGCCACCATTCTTATTCTTAGTCTTTGGCAACCCCCGTTCTGTCTCTATATTTGACCACTCTAGGCAACTCAGGAAAATAGACTTTTACAGTATTTGCCCTCTGTTCATTTCATTTAACATCTTCAAGGATCATCCATGTTGTATCCTTTACCTGACTTGGGAAATTGTGTTGGAAGTAGAGCCATGAGCAAGTTGCCTGCTAGCTTGCTGGTTTAGAAAATGGGTGCCAGGTCATTTCCCTTCTAAGAAGTCTGGTGATAGCATTGTTAGTGCTCCCTGATACCCAAGGGAAATAGCATCTGCTGGCCATTCTCTATGCCTATTGCCTCCCCCCTGTTGTGGGCCACAGAAACCCAAGGCATCAGGTACTTCTTACTGAAGGTCTCTGTAAACATGGCACTGTTGAAGCCAGGAAGGATTCTGCTCCCATATAGGAACTAGGACACAGTCTGCCTCGTTTGATCCCAGTTCACATTCTGAGATAGTGTTTTAGTACTTCCAGTGGCTCCTGCCCTACCATATGATGCATGCATCTGGCCGTGGGCTCTAGGTGGTGTTGGGCTGGTCATGGTGACAGTTATCAGTGCTGGCGTGGCTGCTCCTGGATGCTTGTCTTCCATACTTCTTGGAAGCCTTGTCATGTCCCATAGGCAGGGTCTGGGTTCCAGAGGAAAGGTTCTTTGGGATTTGGATGAAATCTGGCTTGTGCTGTCCTAGTCCCAGAAAAACCTGAGCAAGCAGCAGTTGTAATTAACATTTGGCAAACCATGTCCAGTGGAGGGTGTGGGATATTTTATTTGTGCTGAAATGTGGTGATATTTTATTTGTGTTTTAATAAATAAAGCTTCTCTGGAGATCAGAGGAAAAAGGCCAGCCATTATTGTGAGACCAAAATGAGCCATTTTAGAAATAAGACCAAAATGCTTTCACCCTAAAACTAAGGCCTAAGATTTCTCCTTTTAGGAATAGGCCATTAGTTACTGAAACCAGTCAGTTCAGATTCCAGAAACCAGGAAGTGTAAAAGTACAGAGTCACAAGATAGTCACGAGGTAATGCCTGCCAGACTATGGAATGTCCTCTCCCTGGTTTCCAGGATAACTGACCACAGAAATGCCCCCACCTGAGGGCAGCCAATGAGAAATGGTGGCGGGCAAACACTCCCTTAGAAGTAATTTCTAGAAGTCCCTAGAAGCAAGCCAATCAGAATTGTATCCATACTAGCACCCCTAAATGATGTAACCTTGTGACTTTTCCCTTTAAAAACTGAGCTTGGAGACAGGTGGGCGCTTCCTCCAGCCTCCACTGCGTTGGATGTATTGGACGAAGTCCCTGCCTAGGCTTGTATTGCTTTTGGATATCCAGAATTAAACCTTGCTTTTGCATTCTGGCATGCTCGTCTTTGGTGGTCTCTCTGGGGGTCACGATCTGGGCACAACAATTATAAGTCAACAAAGAAGTCAGACAGTGGTAGCACACGCCCTTAATCCTATCACTTAGCGGGCAGGGTCTCTGTATGTTCAAGGCCACACTGGAAACAGAGCCAGTGTGTTAATTCCAACACTAATTAACCATGGAGGTCTGTAGGTCTGTACAGACAGACAGAAAGTAACAGAGCTGTGTAGGAAGAGGAAGTGATGTAGCTGAACAGAGAGAGCAAATCAGATGGCAGAACAACAAGGCATATGTGCATGGGTAGACAGGAAGTAACTCGAATTTGGAAGCTGCAGAGTTGATGAGGTAGGGTTGGCTGTGGCTTTCCCTAGTTCCCTGATCTCTCTCAGGCTTTCACCCCTATATTTTGCTCCATGTTTTTTTATTATTTAATAAGACCATTTAGAAATTAATCTACAGGAGGGCTTGCTCCTGACAGCCCAATGTTCTGAACGGGTGCAACACATGGTATTGGCTGGGGCTAGCCATGCTTCCTAATGGAGAGTTCGCTTGACTTATTTTGGCCTTGGGGTTAGTCAAGGACAGAAACCTTGAAATAAAGTAGTACCCTAAATATTGCCTCACTTATCTCTGATCACATTTCTTCTTGTTATTCTAGGTGACTTACCTTAAAAAGTTTCTTCTATAGATCTTAGCTTCTGTAAGGCAGCATTTAAAAAAATTATCAAAATGTTGCACTATGTAAGTATATGAATAATGAAGAACAGATGGATGGAGCCAACAAAGCCCATGTCATATCTGCATTAAGAAATGGAATGTTCTGAGAGTTCTGGAACCCACCTCATGCTGCTTGAGACAGTATTCTAAATTCTCCTTCCCTATATTAGCATTGACTACCTTGGGAATTGAAATAAATGGAATTGCCAGTGTCTACACTTTGAGTTTGGCCTCGTGTACTTAATATCCTATGTATGTAACTTGTAATTCATTCTCATTGCTGTAGCTCATCCTATGGTGCATGATCTTTGACTTATTTATTCTATCAGTTCCATGCTGAGCCATCTTGGAACCTGAGACAGGAAGAAAAATTAGTAATGCTGATTCTGCCATTATTTTAAAAACTGCAGCACTCAGGAGGCAGAGCCAGGCGGATCTCTGTGAGTTCGAGGCCAGCCTGGGCTACCAAGTGAGCTCCAGGAAAGGCGCAAAGCTACACAGAGAAACCTTGTCTTGAAAAACAAAAACAAAAACAAAAAACCAACCAAACAAAAAACTGATATATGTACTACTCATGGACTTTTAGTATTAATTTTATGTTAAAAATATTTCATTAAATTATTATTTATCTTGACTACATGTTTTAGTCCCTGCTTCAATTTTTCCCCCTGAGGCTTTAAGTACTAGCAATGTCTCCCACAGATAGAGATGGGAGTTGCATATAGATTTTTTTGTTGTTTCTTTTGGGTCATATCATCATCATCATCATCATCATCATCATCATCATTTTATTATTGTTAACCTGACACACACTAGAGTCATTTGGGAAGAGAGAACCTCAAGTGAGAAAATGTACTCACCAAGTTGTCCTAGGCAAACTTGTGGAGCAATTTCGTTAATGATTGATTGTTGTGGGATGTTCTGTATGTTAAATGTGTTACTCTGATTGGTTAATAAATAAAACACTGATTGGCCAGTAGACAGGCAGGAAGTATAGGTGGGACAAGGAGAGAAGAGAATTCTGGGAAGTGGAAGGCTGAGTCAGGGAGACTCTGCCAGCCGCCGCCATGAAAAGCAAGTTGTAAGGTACTGATAAGCCATGAACCATATGGCAACTTATAGACTAATAGATATGGGTTAATTTAAGGTATAAGAACTAGATAACAAGAAGCCTGCCATGGCCATACAGTTTATAAGTAATATAAGTCTCTGTGTGTTTACTTGGTTGGGTCTGAGTGACTGTGGGACTGGCGGGTGAGAGAGATTTGTCCTGACTGTGGGCCAGGCAGGAAAACTCTAACTACAATTGATATGAGAGGGCCTAGTCCATTATGGGTGGTGCCACCCCTGGGCAACAACAGAAGCCCTAAATAAGACAGGTCATTTATGAACAGTGTTGCTATAAGCATTTGTGAGTGTGTCCTGTGTTGAACATATGTGTGCATTTTTGTTAACTATTTACTGACAGGTGATCTATCTACTAGGAACTTCTTGATGAAAGGACTGGATACAGAGGAAGACAGTATTTATTTTCCTTTCTAAGTGCTAGCCTTTTTCTTTAAAGTGTTTTGAGGCTGTACCTGATTATATGAAGCTAAGTATGTATTTCTGTAAACAAGAGAAGCCTGAGGAAGTCAAAGCAATGGGTTTATGGACATTGTCTATCAGAACTTGGGGCAAGTGTGGGCTTCAGCGATGTGCTCAGTACAGCATAACACTCTTACTAGAGAGCCTTTCAGAGTCCATGAGGTAGATTGAGACCATTATATTTGGCCAGTATATTATAAAATACATATTTGATACATGTTTGTATATATGGATAGATATTATTTAAATTATTATACCCAGATTCTCTAAAATGCCTTTCCAACTTTATCTGCTAGAGACAAAGGAAGATGTGTTCAAGTTTCTTACTCTAATAATGATATTGTAAGTACTCCTTTAATTAACCAAACATTTTGGTCTTAGTAACATATGATTATGAAGTAAAATCACACTCAAAACTGTTTCCTTCTATGATATTAGCAAGAAAGAAAACAGGCTTTTTCTTATCACTTTTACTCAAAATTACATCAGAAGTGCTAACTAGTGCAATAAGGCAAGAAAAAAAGGCATGCAGTTTGTAAGGGCAGAAATAAAACTGTTTCTGTTTGGAGGTTATGTGATTTTTTCCCCCCAGAAAATCCCCACAAATCATATAAAGAGATCGCAGAACTCTTAGTGAGCTTGTGCTATCATGGGATGCAAGGTCAGTGATCAAAAGTCAATTATATTCTATAGGTTAACAGTGACATTTGGACTTGGAGAATTTAAAGATGATAATCTTTTGATCAGCACCAAAATATTTATATATAAAATTGGCAAAATATATGCAGCATCTGTATGTTGAAAACTGGAAAGACAAATAGTGGAAGAAAAAAAAAAATCTAAGACCCAATAAGCAGACAGATCTGCCATGCTCATGACTTAGAAGATTGTTGAATACATTAACACAATCCTAATTGAAATGCTTGTCAGATTTTCTAATTGACATTGTAAACTGGTTCTAAAAGTTGTGTGGGACAATGACTAACATGACATGATAACCCTGTGGGTGCAGTAGTGGCACACATACCTTGGCAGTAACCAACAGCTCTGTAATTGGACTTAGGCCTGTTCAACAAGAGGGAAATCGTACCTGGTACTGGAAACTTAGTCAATTATCCAAGGCTAGTGAAGTCATTGATTTTTTTTTTTAGGAGAACCTAAAATTGCCAGTTTACTAAATCAGCATAATTCCTAACTCCATTATAAAGATTTAGCCTTATGCCTACAGACAGGTGAAGTTCTCATCCATCATCAAAGAAACTTCTTTGGGCAATAGATGGAGACCATTACAGAAAGCCACAACCAATCAAAATGCAGAATTTTGAAGCCCAGCCACAATGGATACATTTTTAATACAACTCCTCCACCCAAGGCTCAGGGATCATTGTGTAACTGTGGGGTGGAAAGATTGTAAGAGCCAGAGGAACAGGAAGTTTGCTGTGAGATCATGTCTTCTAGTAAAGCCAGAGAAACTATACCTAGGAAGTCTCACCAACATGACTACCTAAACAAGGATGGCACCAGTAGACATGCTGACATGGAAAGGAGAAATCTCAGGAGGAGGCCTCAACCCTAGACAAAGAACTGTAGGCCATTAAGGAATGTTGGGAGCAGGAGAAATAGTCTTCTTCAGGGAAGGGGTTATCAAGTGATTAACCAATATCAAATGGTCAGCCTTTAAGCAGACATATACAAGAAACATTATGTAGATTAATCATGTTGTGCTTTTATATTTAAAAATTTGTGTATTTATGCATACTCATATACATATATAACAACAATTAAAGGAAAAGAGGCCCTGAATTTGAGAGAAAGCAAGACAGGATATATGGGAAGCGTTGGAAGGAAGAAAGGGAAGGGAGAAAATGATATAATTATATTAATTTAAAAAATTATAAAAAAGTAAAAGTTATGTAGGAATGGAAATACATTTGAATGTGAACAAATTCTGCAAAAATGAGCAAAGTTAGAGGATTTACACGATTCATTTCAAAACATGAGGTTATAGCAGGGAAAACAATGTGAGATTAGTAAAACAATAGATATCTAAAGCAACAGAACAGAACTGGGAGTTCAGAAATAGATCCACATGACTGTAATCAGTTATTTTGGAACATAGGGTCAGTGACCAATCATTGAAGGATAGTCTTTCCAGAAAGTGGTCCAAGGACAACTGAATGTCCAAATGCAAACAAAGCAAAAGAAAATATACTGACTTGACACACATGTCTCAGATTATATGAAAATACACAATTTAACCTAGAAACTTCTAGAAAGAAAATCCAGAATTTTCCAAAGACATTTTGGGTATAACATTAAAGGATAAAATTAACCTCTGTGAGTATATGCTGGTATTAATAAATGAATATATACAGGATAAAATAACTCCTCCACACAAAATAATTACAGTTATGAAATGTAGATGGATAAAGGAATTGGAGACCACCATTAGAATACAGCAAATGTAATAAGTGATGGCAGGATCTGCATACGAATGGTCAAGTTTGGGACCAACTTGCAAAGCACAGAATGTCCGCACAATGTGGATGATGTTAGGCAGGTACTTGGTGATTGCAGTGTTTTTAAGACATGTCCATATAGTTTCCAAAAGTCTTCCACCCAGAAGGTGTAATTCAACTTCTCTGTCCTTGGATATGGGATGGATTTATGACTTCTTCTTCTTCTTTTTTTTTTTTTAGTAAATTTATTTTACAACATCATTTAGTTCAACATAATAGCCACAGATTCCCCTGTTCTCCCACTCTCGCCCCCTCCCCCTCCCCCCACCCCACCCCTCATTCCCACCTCCTCCAGATCAAGGTCTCC